GAGCAAGAGTCCCCTTTACCACCCCCGACTCCAGGGCCTGGCACGGGCTCAGCAGAGAGCCTGCCACAGATGCGGTCTGTCCGGAAAGTATCCAGCCATGTCCCGTGACAATAAGGGACATTTATTGAACAAGATACAAGATACAAGAAACACTGTACACAGGACAATGACACCTCAGTCCCTTCAAAGTAGACACCTATGGATCTCTCACAGTTCTCCCAGCGTCTCTTCCACTGTTCAAAACACTCTGCAAAATCCTTTGTTGGAATCACCATCAGCTGCCCTGTTGTATTTTCCTGAGTCTCATGGACGGGCTGAAATCTCTTCCCTTTCAAAGGTGATTTTAGTTTGGGGAAAAGCCAGAAGTTACAGGGCACCAAATCTGGGCTGTGGGGGGGCTGAGTCACCTGGGTGATTTGACGTTTTGCCAAAAACCTCTGCAAGCGACATGCTGTGTGAGCAGGCGCGTTGTCACGATGAAGCCGCCGATCGCCAGTTGCCCAAAGCTGTGGCCGTTTTTGTCATATTGCGTCTCTCAACTGACGAAGAACGCTGAGGCAGTCCTCGTTAATTGTTTGGCCTGGAGGGGCATACTCGTGATGGACCACACCTTCCCAGTCAAGAAACACAGTTCACGCTGTCTTGATCTTGCTGCGACTTTGCCGCCCCTTCTTGGGCCATGGAAAACCAGGCGACTTCCATCGGGACAACTGGGCCTTGGTTTCTGGATCACAGCCGTGGACCCACGGTTCATCTCCAGTTATGACCGTCGTGAGGAAATCTGGTTCACTGGTAGGTGCTTGAATCAAGTCACTAGCAGCCGTAGCACAATGTTACTTCTGCTCTGGTAGCAGAAGCCGCAGAATGAATTTTGCCACAACACGTTTCATGCCAAGACCCTGTGTCAGAATCTCAGACACGGTAGTTTTGGAGCCCCCAGATCAGCTCCCAGTTCCCGCACTGTCAGCCGCCGATCTTTGTGGACGGCAGCCCGCACACAGTCGGCACTCTCAGGTGTTCCGCTCGGCGCGGGCCTTCCAGAACATGGGTCACTGTCAACAATTCTCGACCATCTCTGAAGCATTTGTGCCACACTTGTATTTGCCCTGCACTCACTGCATTGTCCCCGAAAGCCTTCGGAATCAGCCAAATAGTTTCCACAGAGGAATGTTCAAGCTTAACACAAAATTTGATGCAGATTCACTCAGTCGTCTTGAATGTGACGGCCAAACAGTGCACATGCCTGCTCCACGGCATCTACCACCCCCACTGACTAGCACAGTGAAGTTGTCATTGTTCACACATGCGCATTCACATTCCAGTCCACTCTCCTTGGCTGCCAGGTTACACTGATGTCGTGCAAACTGTTCTCATTATAGTGACAATGGCTGGACTTGTTCCAGACAGACCTCATATAGTCACTGACTGAATGAAGAGCAATGAGTTCTTTCTCTGAAGTCAGTCGCTGACAACAGTGATATACTCACTGTGTTCAACACCCATTCCCTGGGTGTACTTCACAAGTGTTTGTTGACCAACCGATCGGTCCTCTGTGGACCCAACCAAGAACCTCTTGACCAGGCAAGTCTCCGTATGGCACAGGTGGCAAACACAGGGCCTGCAGGCCAAATCCGGCCCCCCACCTTGTTTTATCCCCCCCAGCACCTGGTTTCTACCTAACGGCAGCGCTGAGCTCTCACTTAACTGTTACGGAGTAGTTACATTCATACAGTCCTAAAACTACATTGCGCCCTTCGAAGGGAACTGCGAGGCTGATGTGGCCCCCCGTGAAAGTGAGTTTGACACTCCTGCCACACGGCCTTCTCCCCGAGTGCCCCAGCTGCCCAGCCCCCTGCCTGGATCCCCAGCCCGTCCCCCCACCCCCCCCCGACTGCCACAAAGCTACCTGTCCCTCTCCCCTCTGACTGCCACAAAGCTGCGGCACAGGGATCTGACCTTGTCACGACCCTGCCTGCCGTACTCCACTCTCTCTCCTCTCTCTAGGGCAGAGTCCAACCCCTGTCTCACTCTCACTAGGGAGGGCTATGGGCCCTTCAATGCCTGACGCAGCTGCTCCTCCCCAACCTCCACCACGTATACGTATGTCCCCCTCACGGGAGCTTCCACATCCCCCAGCCCCCCAGGGTTGCAGTGGGGGTTCCTCTGGGACAGAGCCTGCCTCCGACCTCTGATCTGTCCCTGTGTGTGGCACCTAGCACTGAGCTGGCTCAGAAGGGGCTTCGTCCAACTGTTGGGTAAATGAAGGACCAGGCTGCCTGATCTCACTCATAACTGGCCCCAGAGTCGTTCAGTCCCTGAGTTTCAAGTCCGAGCCAAACCTTCGATTCCAATGCCAGCACCCTCTCTTTGTGGGGCACCTGCCCGCCAGGAGAGCACCCAGCACTGGCTCCCTCCCCCGGAGAGCTCAGCGCCGACTCCAGGCACAGGTATCACAGCGAAGCTGAGCTGAAACGGGTGCCCCTCAACTGCCCTTCCAGCCCCACTGCCCCAGCCCCATCCCGGGCCTCAAAGACTGGCTCTGCCCTCGTGCCTGGTGCGTCCACCCCCACGTGAGCTGCTTCTGGCATTCCCGCCCCTTCTTTCCTCCCAGGGATAGGTGAGCTGCTCCTTGGGGCTCTGGGGCTCTGGGCTGGGCAAATCTCACTTCTGCCTCCTCTTAGCCCGGGGACCTTGGGCAAGTGACTCTGCCCCCCTGAGCCTGCTCCCTCATCTCTAACACAGAGAGGATGATAAGGACCAAGAAGACTGGAAGAATACTTATAGAAAGGGTGTTCATAAAACATTTTTGTAGGGTTAGTTTTCAATATGTCCGTTTTTGTTTAAGATAAACAACGAGAGGGAATTTGTTCAATGTTTAAATACAATTATTAAGGACACATTAGTTACCAGGTATCTTTTCTTTCCCAGATAATAAATGGCACACTGCACAGAATGGCCTCCGCCAGGCTGTGATTTGTAACTAAAACAATGGCAGTGACAGTGAAAGTTAGCCTTCCTCAGCCCTTCACTCGTCACTTGAAAGTTAACCTTCCCTCTCTGTGGCATCTCTCAGATTCGGGACGTCTTACCAGGAGACACACACTCACACTGTGCAGGGGCGTGACGGGCACCTCGTGTGCGAACACCTGCGCCGAGCCAGGCACGGAGGAGCATTCTGACGAGGAATATGGGGCATGGGGGAGGGGCGCGGAGGGGGGCAAAAGTAGGTTTACAGTTGTTCACAGGGAATGTAATACAGTAATTAGTACATGATAACACGAGAATAAACTGTTTCCATTGTTGGTGTGAAAATAATACAACAATACATGATAGCATGAGAATGAACTGCCATGCGCACTCACAACTGCAAACCCACCTTTGCCCCACCCTGTGATTGCGGCAACTTTATGACTGTTACCACCATCAGACCTGGGATGACAAAGTGGCAGCTGCCCACCTGCACAAACTATCACTACACGCGCACAAAACGTCACACGGCCCGGAAAAGGGAGAAAGGCAAAAACCCGTGCAGCATGAACAGACAAACAAATCCAGAGTCGCTCTGCACAGCATGAGTGCCCCCAAAACAAACCATGCAGCCTCCTCGGTACCTAAGTCCCCAACAGAACAGTGTTTTCCCTGACCACGACATGGTGATATCGGATCATACAGGCTGCTAACTGCTGGAGACCGCTGCCAAGTTTTTTTACCTTGAACAGACTTGCTACAAAATTGTTTACCATCTCTTTAAATGCACATGGTATTTACTGTTTACTGAGCTGAGCCCCCTGGGACTGGCCTTCTGCAGCACTCTGCAAGTCACCTGCTTTCCTTTACTTGTGCTTTTCTTACCGATGGAGGTCCCACCAAGGCATGTCCGTGTCCCCAGCGCCACTAAACTGTGTCAGCCCACGAGTGCTCCCAGGCACATCTTTCTCAGCAAGCAGGGCGAGTCTTCTCAGCCTGTTCTAACTGCACTGCCATTCCTGCACCAGGGCTGGCTCGGTTTGGACACGACCTTCTTTTCCTACTCCCTCATGATCGGCAATCACACTGGGAAGACAGTGATTATATGCCCTGGTTGTTGGGTTCTCTATCAAGGAGAAAAGACCAGGAATGGTAGAAAACAGGGGGCCTGGAATCTGGTCACTTCTCTCTTTTTTTAAAGATTTATTTATTCATTTATATTTAGAGAGAGGGCAAGGGAGGGAGAGAGAGAGGGAGAGAAACATCAATGTGTGGTTGCCTCTCATTCACCCCCAAGTGGGGACCCGGCCCACAACCCAGGCATGTGCCCTGACTGGGAATCAAACCAGTGACTTCCTGGTCTGCAGGCCGGCACTCAGTCCACCCAGCCACACCAGCCAGGGCTGGTTACTTCTTTACATTTGGCTTTCTTTGTTTAAAGGATTCTGGGACTTGTGGGCATTTGAGACTCCAGCCTCTCTGTCACTGGGTGAGGACACACTGGTTTAATTATATGTGCTACTGCCTAATGACTAATTCTTTGTCCCTAAATGTTGTGACAACCCTCATGTTGCTTGTTTGGCTTTTCACCATTAAGAACTCCAATCAGCCCTGGCCGGCCAGCTCGGCTGGCCGGAGCATCACCCGGCACCCCGGAGCGGTTGTGGGTTTGACGCCCAGGTGGGGCGCACACGGGAGGCTGCGATGGATGTTTCTCTCTCACATTGATGTCTCTCTCTCTCAAATCCATAAACATACTCTCAGGTGAGGATTTAAAAAAAAAAACCGCAAATCTCTCTCACACGCACGCGCGTGCGCGCGCGCACACGCACACACACTGTGCCCTGGGGAACGGAACGCGACGGCCCGCCACGGAGCATTCTGGTGCCAACGCCCTCCTTCGGGGCCTGTTCATTTCTCGTCGCTTGCTTTGTTGCAGTCTCAAGCAACATTTGTAAACACAAGTCTACTTGTGAAAAAACCAGGATTCTTAGTAATGATCACTGCCGGCTCTTGTGTGTACTTCCTGCCAGACGGATACGCGAACCGCGCCTGCTCGGCCGGCTCCGCGCTGCAGCCTTCCTCGCACCCAGACCAGTAACGCGGCCAAGGGGCCTTCCGCACCCAGAGGCTCTCGGGGCGTCTAGATGGCCGCGGGGCAACACCGAAGATTTCTTCCTTCGCTTTACAAAAAGAGGGGCGACCCGAATAAATCAGGTACGTTTTGAGTTCTCCGCACTCTTTTTTTTTTATGAAGTTTATTTAAACTTCTTTTTTTTTTTTTAAGATTTTATTTATTTATTTATTTTTAGAGAGGGAAGGGAGGGAGAAAGAGAGAGAAACATCAATGTGCGGTTGCTGGGGGCTGTGGCCTGCAACCCAGGCATGTGCCCTGACTGGGAATCGAACCTGCGACACTTTGGTTTGCAGCCCGTGCTCAATCCACTGAGCTATGCCAGCCAGGGCAAGTTCTCCGCACTCTCAATCAACAGAACGCTAGAGTGAGAGCTACCCCAGGAAGTTCCCAGTACACGGAAGCTGGCAAAGCAAAAGAGAGCTCAATCTCTGAGTAAATTTTATGAATGTGTGTAATTATATATAATTTCTATAAATATAAAATATAGTAATAGCATATATAATAAAATCATATACCATAATATAATTATATATGTATGCCATATAATTATATATAATATAAATGTACTTATATAGTGGTATATTTTTTAAGATGGAGAAAAAAACAACTGCTTTTCATTTACAGAGGCTTGCACACTAAGTATCAACAGAGAGGTATCTTAAAAACATTTTTTTCTAGCTTTAACCACACTTACCAATTAGTGCCAATCATAACACAGCGTTTATGAGATAAATGAAAAGACCCTGAAGATGGGCCAGTACCCTTGCTGCCTATGTTTTTAACCTGAAAAACTGACCACCTGTTACATCTTTTTTTCTAAGTATTAATTTTAGGTAAACTTTATTTTAGTATTTTTTAAAGATTTTATTTCTTTATTTTAAAGAGAGGGGAAAAGAAGGAGAAAGAAAGGGAGAGAAATATCAATGTGTGGCTGCCTCTCACATGCCCCATACTAGGGACCTGGCCTGCAACCCAGGTATGTGCCCTGCCTGGGAATCGAACCAGCGACCCTTTGGTTCCCAGCCTGTGCTCAATCCACTGAGTCACACCAGCCAGGCACCTGTTATATCTTAATAGAGGACTCCATTCTCCTCCATTCTAATATTGTTGGTTGTTGTAACAAACAGGCTACAGTCCCTTAGCTAGCCAGGGTCTGACTCCCCCCTCACACTTGCCTAAAGGCCTCCGCTCCAAGCTGTGGGTCAGAAACTGAGTCTTCTGCAAGGAAACGCAAGAGGGGAGAGCCTCCCATCGCTATGACCCAACACTGCTTGAGGACAAGGCCAGACCCGAGAGTCCTGAGTCCAGAAGAAAACAACTTTTCAAACAGACTGACTGCCCCAGATCAGCGGAACAGGAATTATGACCTTGCATTGGATGGAGGTGATTTAATTCTAATGTTATTTTCTAACGGGCATGTGAGAAACATCCCTTTTTTCTTTGATTTATCTCTAATCCTCAATTTAGGAGGCTATAATCGTACACGCTGGAATAAAATATTCCTTAAATGGAATTCCAACTAACCCTTCAGAATCCTGGAGGGGAAACCCTGTAAAAATTTAACATAGATGGAAACTAATGAACAACCAGGGAAATTTAAAAATGATAGTTCTATTGAAAACCGCACAGGTAACTGGCCTTGTCTACAACGCTACTCAGAACAATCACTAGAAAACATTCCAAGTGCCTTCCCTGAGACCCTTCTCTTTTTCTGATCATTACCGGTTCCGGAGGTAGGTTCAGCGAGAATCTGTCTTCCTTCCTAATAGGATACAACTGGGTAAATCAAATTTGTAACCGTGACCATGCCAGAGATGTCACATTTAAAACAAATTCCATTTAATTGGGCATGACAAGCCTGATGGTGAGAAACAAGGAATGTACTTCTCGGGGGCGGGGGCGGGGGGCGGGTGCTCCCCAGGCCTCCAGGAAACCGGACTGGACCTGCTCCCTGGCTGCGGAGTGGCAGTCGTTAAGGTCGAACACAGAGTCATTCCTGCTGGCCCAGGAAATCGACAAACTCGGGACCCTCCGGAAAGACGGTGCCCTGCAGTTACAGGTTGCAGAGGCAGACCCGATGGGGGTGAAGCGGATGGTTCAGGTTCCTGACTTTAGATAGTGAGAACACTTTACACACACACACTAAAATTATGACCCCGGGGGCTTTACAGAGTCTCCCAAATCCCAGCATCACATGCTCTAATTTTAATAACAACACAACCAGGGGAGCTTGCTTAACCAACACCTAATTACGTATACCTCCATGTACACAAAACTGGCCAAACGTTAAAAGAAAAAAAAATCAAAGTAATGACCACAATCAGAAAATTGCTGGCACAAACTCGTGGGGTCAGACCCGCAGCAGGAGACACAGGAGCAACGAAAGCAGAAGACTCCTTGTCCTGGGGCCGGCCGGCCACTCGTCTCTCTCCGTCCAGCCCACACACCGCGCCCCGAAGTCTGGGAAACAGACTGGTAAAGCGCACAAGGGCGGCGGAGATACATGATTGCCTAACGACAACAAAGCAAAGCAAACATAAGGTCCCTCTGTCTGGCAATCATCCCCGAAGAGAGGAAACCTTGGGCACTTTCTGTAAGTCACAAACTCCACGGCAAAAACAACTTCATCCCTGACGTGCGCTGTGCTGAGACTGGCAAACACACAGCCAAGCTTATCGATACCATCAGCCTGGAAGAAAAGCGCTGTGAACCTCCATCTTGGTAACCTTGGGCTTGGTTCCATACATTTCCAAGTATGTTTACTTGGCAAGCCAGGCTTTTTGATGTTTGCACTCCCCTGCAAAAACTTTTCTTTCCTTAACGCATTCTAATCTCCGAGTCTCCCTTCCGCACACTGGCCTGCAGTGTAAGCCCCCCTCAGGAGGCAGGGACTTTTGTCTGTTTTGTTCACGGCTGTATCCCTGCACCGAGGACCACATCTAGCTTATAGAAGAGGCTCTGTAAGTACTTGTTAAATGATCTTACGAAAGCTAGTTCCATTTAGCCCACAAATATTAGATAAACACGTAGAGGCTTGTGGCACACCCTGGGTGTGGAAATGGAAGAGACGGAGCCCTGGCCTTCAAGAACCCCCAGTATATTGGGGATGGTGGGCAAATAGCCGGGCAAGTTCAAGACAACCTACCACTGCTGCAGTGGGGAGGCACAGGGCCCATGGAACCAGCTCAGGGAGGCCCGAGAGGACTTCCTGGAGGAAGCTGGCCTGAGAGGTGGATAGGAGAGGGCCAGGGAAACAGGGTAGAAGAGGGGAGGGTTTCAGGTAGAGGACGCAGCATGAGCAAAGACCTGCAGCTGAGAAGCAATGGGAAAGATGGTGTAGGAGTGTGAGCTGGGGCCAGCGAGGTCCACGAAGTCCACATCAAAAAAGGCATCGAAGGCCAAGCAAAGGACTTTGTCTTGACCCTGAGGGCCATGGGCACCTAGAGAAGGTTGCAGCCCCTCCTGGTAGCAGGTCTGTGCACGGGCACAGGTGCTGAGCTGGAACAGGCTGCAGCGGGTCGGCACCGAGCAGGCCACTCACCTGGTGTGCTGCTGGAGGTGGGAGAGCTGTCGGAAGGACTTGTCACAGTAGGAGCAGTGGTAGGGCTTGACGCCCAGGTGGATGCGCAGGTGCTGGGCCAGGTAGGAGGCGTTGGCAAAGGACTTGGAGCAGTGCGGGCACTTGTGGGGCTTGGCCTCTGTGTGCGACTTGGAGTGGATCTGCATCTCAGACTTGGTGAAAAAGGTCAGCGGGCAGACCTTACACCTGTGGGGCAAGAGGCAGGTTCACACCTGGGAAGACCCCTGCACCCCTGCCTGTACAGCTCAGGGGGGACCTCCTGCACCAGAAACCATGCATCAGGGATAGGGCTTTCCTGTGAGGAGTCCCCAGGGCACTCAGGCCCTGCTAGGGGCATGCTCAGGCCCTAGACAACCTGCGATCTGGAGGAGAAAGCCCTTCCACCTGGGGGCTTCCACCTGGGGGCACATTTCCAGCCGCCGGGGGAGCAGGCTGACCCCTTACAGGGAAGAGAGGCCTCATGTTCCTGGTAAAGGTTTGCCCAGAGCCACACCCCACAGCTCTAGGGGAGGGGCTCAACTGGACTGCACCCAGAATCAGCAGGGCAGGTGGGGATGGGGTTTCAAGAAAAACTGACACTTGGCCTTCCACAAGCCCCCCACCCCACAGCAAATTAAATCAGAATTTTTGCAGGTGCGGCCCTGGTACTGGCATTTTTTGAACTCTGCCCCAGTGATTCTAATGTTCAGGGTTGAGCTCACTGCTTGAAGGGAGGAGAGGGAGCCCCCAGCCCCACACTGCCTCTGAAAGAACATGGGTGCAGCCTGTCGGGTGATCCCACCCCCTGGACCTTAGCCCCCACCCTCAGCCCCTGGGTCCCTTCTTTCCAACCCCCCATTTCTGAGCTCCTGGGGGCAGCCCTAGGTGTGAAGCCCGCTGGACCCCCACCTGTATGTCTTGCCCTCCTTGGCAGTCTCGCCTGAGGCCAGGATGGGGTAGGGGACTACAAGGACAGGCGGGCCCCCTGGGTTCTCCGCCTTGATCTTTTTGCGGCCACGCTCGGACTTGGGGGGGCCAAGCAGGCCATGGCCCTGGATTGTCTTGATGGAGTCCAGGAGGGGGGGGCTGGTGATCCCTGAGATGAGGGTGGGGGACGAGGCGATGAGGCGGCTCTGGCTGGTGGTGGTGGGTGTGGACGGGGTGCTGGTGCCGGTGCCCGCGCTGGACTCGGATGTGCTCACAGCCGGGGTCCGGGAGGACAGCCCCAGACCTGCGAAGACAGGGCGGCAGGGGCGGGGATGAGGGGCAGCTGCAGGGGCCCACTCAGCCCCGGCCACCCAGCTGTGTGACTTTGGCAAGGTACCCACCTTTCGGAGCCTCCCCTCCCCTCTGTGTGTTATTACCCAGGGGCAACAAAACCAAAGCTGGTGTATGTGCAAGAGGCCTTAGATACGTAAGAGCTAAGCCAAGTTGGGTAACAGGCGCTTCAGAGATCATTCAAACCACAGAAACAACCTGAGGCCCAAGGGAGTCCACTACTGTGTTAGTGACAACAGTAAAAGCTAGAGGCGACTGAGGTATGCAACAGCAGAGAGGGAAGGAGTCAGAATTTTGATCCATTTCCTCTACTGAACATTACTGCCCATTAAAAAGAAGGTTATGTTTGTAAAAAATATTTTTCAAAGGCATATGTATGCAAAGAAAAAGTAAGCAGGAGGAGGGATGTACCAAAATGTGACATGGATGGTAAAATTAGGAGTAATTTAAAAGGTTTTTTTGTTTTAACTATATTTTCTAACTCTTTGAAAATAAACTTTTTTTTAACTTCTGTAATAAAAGTTACTCGAGGAGACCAGAAACATTTAGAGTGTCAGGTTAAGTAGAC